AGGCGGGGAACGTTGGAGTCCGCTGTCACTGGAGCAAGCAAGCCTCCCTGTTCGCTTCAGCGCATGGCTGCCGGCTGCCATCTTGGCTGACAGTTAATTTGCATAAGGATATGCTGATTAGCCACTGGGAAGGGTAGCGGTCGTACGCTAATTACCATGTTTCTCTTTTATTAGTGTAGATGACAGTTTGATCAGTGTTACTTCCACCAATATCTTCCTTTACAGCATATACCATGACTGTTTTGGCTCACAGCACTTGGCATTTAGTGTGTATTGAATGAATGTTTCTGGGAAAACTGAAGCTGATTATCCGGCCATGAGCTCCATTTACCCTCAATCCTTTTTCTTTCAGACATTCAGGTTTCAGTGAGGCTTAGTCACATTGCTGTCTGCTTTCTCCCTGAAAGCTATTTCTGATAAATGTTTTAACCAAATAAAAATGTTTAGGTTGAGGAAGTCCACAGAATGAAATTTACTCAATATTCCCTTTGTTAAAAAACTTTTTTTTTTTTTGATGGATGGGTCGGTGGATGGGGGGGTGGGTGGATGGGCAGATCTAAAAAACATTTTTAAACCTGGTTTTTAGAGTGAGGATTTTAGTTTATAAATGTGGTACAGTATTATGATATTGATCACAATTGATGAATTATGTTAATACTTTTGATGTTTTTAATGAAGCTATTATAAAAACATCAAAAGAACTTCTAACTCTATGTGTATAGTTTAATGTAGCCTAAATAAAATAACTATGAGATCTAAAATTTTACTTCCCTTTTAGCTTTGGAGAGTTTTAGAAGTCTTACCGAATAGCTGTCCATATCTATCTACGAATTGTTGAATGTACATACAAAGAGTCTAAAAGAGCTCCCTAAAGAACTTTGATTTCAAGTAAGAACATCTGAGACACAGAAATTTATAAATACATTAGGCGAGATGCTTCCGAGTTGGCATTTGGCATGTTTGTCTAAGGCCAGATGCCTTGCAGATAGCATTCTGGTGCTTCTATTTAACCATTTGCCATTTACAGTCTTAATCTTATCAAAGGAAGAGAAAGATTAAAGCAAATAAAGCTTTTTTGAAAATGTCAGTTTTTATGAAAACTCTGGTTTAGTTCACTTTGATAATATTTGCAAATACAGTAGGGACCTAATAAATTTTAACCACATGTAATGTTCTATAATTTGGCTTCTTAAACTAAATGCTTTTGAGCTTTAGTAGTAAATCCTATTCAGTATTTCTACTCTTAAAGTTTGTCTTGGTAAAAAAATGAGGAATGCAGTTTTCTGTCTCATATTTTCTAAGTGTATTTAGTGTGATTTTGAAATACTGTGTGAAGAGTAGGAGCTTAGGTTAAAATACAGAAACATCAACTCTCTATATTAAACCAGTAAGGCACTGAGTATGAGAAGGAAGAAACTTATTGTGAGATATAAGGCAATGTGATATGTTCCTTTCCTTCAAGGGAGATAAGCAGTGAGGAAAAAATATCAAGAGTACAGTGAGTTTCAATGTTACTGTTAGCATATGAGTGCTCTAAGAGTGTTTAAGAATACAATACTCGGAGGTTCCAATGAGGGTCGGGAGGGGAAAGGGATAGCATTCTTTTGGGAAAATCAGGAAAGAATATGTTAAGGAGCCAAGCCTTCACAGTACATGTATGATTTTGAGGTGGTAGGAAGGTGGAGGGCATGGTGTAAACCCAAAAAAAGAGGGAAAATATTTGAGTATGTTTAGGATACAGTGAGTTGTCCATGTTGATTAAAGAATACCGTAGTGTAGGAAGACTATGCAAAACAAGAATGGACCATGTTATAGAAGTACCTAAATACTAGACTAAGAAGTTTGACTGTTACTTCAAGATAGTAGAAATAATGGAGGCTTTTGAAATGAAAGTAACCTCTTCATAATCTATCTTTAGACAGACGTGGCTCTGAACTTTGAGTCTTAGCTAGATTACTTCTTGGCAGCATGAACTTAGTTAAAGTCCCCAAACCCATCTCATCCACAAGTACAGTACTTCATTCTTCTATAAAATGGGGCTAAAAATGCTTATTTTGGTTGTATAAGGAATAAATGAGATTCTGTGTATTAAAATGTCAGGACCCAACATATAGTAGGTAATCTATATATATAAAACCCTAATATGCAAATAGACCAAACGGTGGAACAATCTAACAAATGGTCGCTATGACGTGCGCTGACCATGGCGGGGGGCGCGCACAGAACATGGCGGGTGTCGGCGGCCGCAGCAAAATGGTGGAGCAGGTGAGTGGGGCACCAGACCAAGGCGGGGCGCCAGTTGCTGTCATTGGGGCAAGCCTCTGGTGGTTACTGAAAATTCTTTGTTCCTGCACGCCGCGGTCCTGTCCCATGCACTGGCCCCGATCACTCAGCGCCATCAGTGGATGCGAGCGGCGGCTGCCGGCCCCGATCACCCCTGAGGGCTTCTCCACCTCCCCCTGCTCCTGAGGGGCGATCGGGGCAGCAGCCACCACTTGCACCCACTGCTGGGCGCTGGACCCAATAGCTCTACGCTGTCAGCGGGTGCAGGCAGGACCGGGGCCGGGGGGCCAGGCGGGGGTGTGGAGGATGGGCTGAGACCTGCCCCTGTGCCCACCGT